TCATGATAAAATATTACATTACATTACATTGCATTTAGCTGACGCTTTTATCCAAAGCGACTTACAATAAGTGCATTCGACCAACAAAATACAAACTTAAAGAAAACAGAATCATATAAGTACATCAGGGTTCATAGAGCTAAAAAATGTCAAGTGCTACTCAACTGGCTTTAGATAAGCCAGTCCTTTATTAGTATATAAGTGCTTTGTTAATAGTTCTATCGCTCGAAGTATACAACTCAAGCAATTTCAGCTTCAATGTTATCGTAGTGTTAATTGATTTTCAAACCATATAGAATTAAATGGAAACTGATGGCTGCCTGGTTTAATATAACGACATACACAGTAAATTATCCATGATTTGTAGGTCAAGAACTGTTAATGAACCAAAAAGCGTGCACACGTTTACTGGAGGAATACAATAAAACTGAGTGCTATATAAATCAGTCATGTTTCTCAAAAAGGTTTTCATTTTTCTTTGCAAACCCTAAATGTCAAAGAATGCTTTTAAATGTCATCCAACACTGTGACCTATCAGAGGTTTAACAGCTGCTAGGAAGTGCTTCTGGTCTTAAAAAAATGTCCAACAACTATACATCAACTAAAATCCTTTGCTGGTTTTAATTTAAATGTGGCCAATTTAATTGTTTGGAGAATGTTTCTTCAATCAAGTTCTAGCTGAGACATTTTCTAGACATGTTTTTTGTGTTCGATACAGTTTAATGTAGAAAATATGTGGTTGTAACAAAGCTGCTTTATTTTCAAATATAGAAAAGATTGATCTTTCTGTCATTTTGTACTTAAACCTATTACAACAATTGCTTTTCATGAGGAATCTTATAGTAAAAACATTTGGATTGTATTGCACCATTAACGCTATACTGGGTATTTACGTCAAAATTGTAACACACTTGATGGATGGTGAATGTCAGTTTTGTTGTTTTGGGTTTTCCTCTGTTTTGTCTGAAATGCCACTCAACTATTACACTAGCAGACAGCCTGTTTATGGAGTTGTTGGAAGGTGTATTTTTTCACAAAAGGAGCTAGGGTAGCAGATTCCAACCTGTCTCCAGTCTTAGTATTTTCCTCTTCTAAGCATGTCTCTATCTTATTCATTTGTTTTGTCTCTGATTATTTGCACATCATCATCTGACAGCAGCTCCACGCATTTGAGCTGTGATCTGCAATGTGTTGTCAAAATATTGTATCAGGTATCAGGAAAAATAACATTTGTTTAAGTACAAGACACTACTGTTACACTCCTTTAAAACGGTTCATTGTTCTGCTATCTCAGTTGCTTTATATTTTTCTAGTTGCTATATAATATTGTTTTAGCCTGCTTATTGATTATCAGGAAGATTAAATTACTATCCATCTCATGTTTAAAGAGAAAAACGTACTGCCTCGTGGTTGTATGAATCCTCCAGTCAAGTTGCCATTTAAGTCCATATCAGTCTAAAAATCCCCCGTTTATCTTTTGTGTGACGGTTGTCATAAGCAGCATATGGATCGTTATGGCTAAATCATTTTGTGGGATTTGTCAGTGACCTTGACCTTTGATTAACTTGATCTAAACAGTTCATCCTTGAGTCTAAGTGGATGTTTGAGCCACATTTGAAGTATTCCTTCAATATTTTCCTGAAATAGATAGTTGGGGCGGTGGTGGCGAAGTCGATAGGGACTTGGCTTGGCAACTGGAAGGTCACCAGTTCAAGTCCCGGCAAGACTAAGTGCTACCGAGGTGTCCCTGAGCAAGGCACCATTCTCTACACTGCTCCCCGGGCGCCGTTCAAAATGGCAGCACACTGCTCCTAACACAGGATGGGTCAAATGCAGAGAAACAATTTCCCCATGGGGATTAATAAAGTATATCAAATATAAAACGAGAATGGGACAGTCGTGAAGTCACATTGAAGAAAAATAGAATAAGTTAATTATTGAGTACAAGTGGACATTTGTGCCACATTGTACCCTCCAGGCCTTTATAAGATATCACAGACTGATACAGACTTTCAAACAAATAGAGAGAAGAAAAGTCGGGCTCCGGCTCAGAACAGACTTGGTTCTTGGAGATTTACTGAATTAATATGTACATCTATTAATGTTATAACAATCCCATTTTCCTAAACAGGAAAATAAACAAGAGCGAGAAAATAAACTTCCAATCATAGCTACAGCTCAGAAAGATTGTTTTGGATATGAACAGAGGATTATTATTACCCGCATTATGTGCAATTGCAACATGTACAGTAAACTCCTGACAGTGCTCGGTGTAATGATGTTTCTAATGGCCTCTGGTGTGAACTATGTGGCAGTAAGTGCATTGATGCTGTGCAGGCTTTCTGCAGTTGCTCCTCCCTGTAGTCTATGCTACGTTAATCCCTCCCTACATGTATGTTCAATGATTTATGGTCATAATAACCCAAAAAGAGGATTAAGCTAATTAAACCACAGTGCTGCGCTTGTAGTGAACACATCGGGAGGGAATACACCGCCCCCACATTTATACCACGAGCACACACACAAAAGCACATGCAACACCCACGCACACACACACACAAGCTGTAGTGTCTCCAGGGTGTTTTTTTGTTGTCAGTGAAGGATTCTGCCTTTAAATGCCCATCGTTCGTTAGCATGACTCGACTGTAAAATAACCAGAAGATTAAAGATATTGCAGCTAGCGGCGACGCTACCACAAATCCAGCTGCTCAATTCTGGATTAGCTATACTAAAGCTCTAGCTGTGGGTTCCCCCGGCCATGCTAGGTGCTGCCCGGAAATGTAATGCTATACTTAAAGCCATGCAACGGTCGCTGGGATCATAAAAGCCTGTAACACGCTGGATTAATGATGCCAAGGTTGCCCGTATTAATACAGTAGAGGGTCTACAGGCTATGTACTGTAATCCTGACGAACAGCATGGAAACTGCTAACACTGGATGATGACAACTGGAGGCCATGAACCACTCAAGATACAGTAAATGACCCTGCTGTTGAAGCTAAAGTTGAATAATGCTAGCTTCAGGTGGTACAGGTCTACCTCCTGCTGTAGATAACTGATGGATTGAGCCTCAGTTACACAGGCTACATCATGTTCAATCCAGAGAGCATTTTGATTGGAAAACAAATCAAATAATGTATTGGAAAGTAAGGAAAATATGTGATACACTAGCACCTGTCACTTGAAGCTCTTAATGACAATCCCAAACTCCAATATGATAACCGTTAAAAAGTGAATCCAGAGAGTTTCGATTCTATGGTGTCTTGATTGATTTCGCACAACATCAAAAAAAGTCATGTTCAGTTCTCCTAAAAACACAAACTTACTTTTAAAGTCAGGTGCAGACTGTGCACTGACATAGGAAGCAGCCTCTTCATTGATTTGAATCAGACCACTGTTTTAACACAGCTGACACAGCAGGCTCTGGCGCTGCCTATGCAATATTTCTACCGTCATCAATAATGATAGTGATTATCTTTGTAACATCTCTCCAGAGATCCTTCTTAGTATTGTAAAACACTTTTTTGTGTTTTGACATCTGATTAGCTTCAAACGTATGGATCTGTTCATCAATGATATTGAGAATTAATACCACGCTTACTAACAAATCCGTCTGCATTATTTTAGTCGAAATGCAGGGCTTTTCCTGAATTTTCAAAAATCTTCTTCTGCTTGGTATACCAATGCAATATGTTCAATTTCCATGTGTTGTGAGCAATACGATCAGAGAAACACATAAGGCTGATCCTTGTCAAGTAAACCTCAGGCTGAGTTCAGGTTACTTGATGCTGTTTAAACTCAAGCAAATCACCACTTCATCAAAATTTGCAACAGTCAAATCACTCTTCACTCATGTTTCCACATCCATCCAGAGCCCTTCTCCACATGCCCACATTTTTGAGCGCTCACAGCAAACAGCCCCCGTACACATTAGCCTGGTGTGTGTTCTGTCTGAGGGTCACCGACAGGGCAGCAGTAGTTAGAAGCTAAAGCTGCATGTCTGACCCAGTTGGACACAGCTGAATTGCCAATGTCATTTACTACCAGTCTATCAATCATCAGGCAATTACTGAGACAATGCCTTTTGGCCCTGAACTACCAAGACTCATGAGGAAATTATTAAATCCAGAGGATCATATCAGAAGCAAAATAAATGGAAGAGAGGTCATAATGTGTTTTTAAAAAGTCAAATATCAGAGGTTTTCTTGATAATTTCAACAAGCACAATGCACCTTTTCTGTGATGTACATGTGTTATGATACATCCTTAATCGAAGCTTGGGCACATCATCATTCAACAATGCTATAATGATGATTTTCTTTGTGTTGGTTCTGGTTCAGCATATTGGGTTTGAAATTGAACATGAGGTTAAAATGCTGAGGGTACGCACGTTTTAGGGTAAGTAGAATAAGGTCATTATCTTCAATATTTGTTTTCAAGTCTCACAGATATCATCAGACACTTGGTATTTTCCCAGCTGACGCTCTGTCAGGCCTGCATCACAGACAGCTTTGCTTCATGTTTCAGGGCTCTGCTGCCGGTAGTCTGGTCTTCAGCGGTGACACACAGAATCAGTTTGATTGAGGTCATGTGGCTCACTTGGACAACCAAGTATATTATATGTTGCCCTGCTGCTTTGTCCTTAAATCTGGGGGACATGGGGCCAATTTCAGACCATCCTTAACGCAGATTGCACATGGTGGCAGCGTAATTTTTCAAAAATGATTAATGCTAGCAATTGGAAAAATACTTTTGAAAGCCATACTGGTTTCTTGAATTGGTTGCTGACTGACACATTCAATCAAAAGGGTCTGCTGAATACAAAGGGCTAAAAATCCTGCAATCCTCCCTCAATATCAAAGTGAATTTGTCAAATGTTTGCTTAATGTCAGCACTGGAACCTCATAATCATCTTTTCATTTCAAATCCAACGTGATGGACTCCACAGCTGAAATGATGATTATAGAGTACACTGAAGGTAATTGTAATGGAGGTCTTACCTGTGTGAGTCCTCTGATGTGCCTTCAGATGGGAGCTCTTGGTGTAAACCTTCCTGCAGCCATTAAACTGGCACCGGTGGACTCTCTTCTTGTTCTCTGGTATGTCTCCTCCCAGACTTCCTCCTCCTCCCTGCTCTCCGTCGCTGAGGGCTCCTCCTCGGCTCGGCGGCGATGGTAACGCTCGTGCTGCCACCAGTTTAGCTGCTCCTAACCCTACCTTCTTCGCCACAAATTTGAGCGTTAGTGTGCCGTCTGCCGTCGCAGTCAGTGTTTGTGTGGGTTTGACGAGGTGGCGACCGAGCTCTGGTGACGAAGGCGGTGTTAGGGAGGTCACCGCGGCGCTGAGCTGTGCGGCACTGACTCCTGCCAGGACTTGGTCCTTCGGTGAGAGGGTTTCAGTTCCTGCCTCGCCTTGGGTCTTGCTGGCCACGTGGAGGATTTTGGCCTGGACCTTGGGAAGGGTTAACAGGAGAGGGGGCGGGCTGGGCTGGTCTGGGAGGCTGGGGAGGAGCGGGTCCATCAGCTCCTCGTCGCTGTCCCCACCCTGCATGAAGTTCGGCATTAAGAGACAGTCCAGCTCCTCGTCGAAGATCTCCGAGAGCCGCTTGGGCTCCGTCTGTAGATATCGCTCCAACTCTAGACATGTCTGCAAGATAAGGAAGCACATAGAGACAAGAGTCAGACATAAATACACTTCACACCTGGTGGTTCAGTGTTTATGTTTTCCAACTCACACAATCTCACAGGAGGCTGTATTATGACTATTTAAATGGCCTTTGGTCACAAGTGAGGTAAATAGCTCAATATTAGCTATCTGACGACTGGTTGACAACTGATATACAATCTTTTGGTTAAACAGGACTTCAGTCTTCTAATACAATCATGTCAACTGTTAACTTCTAAAGCCTCACCGCAACTTCAACCCCATTTCGTTTTGGCCTCGTTTTCTGCTATTTTCTATAGTTCTCCGATATCAGTACACCTTTATTCTGTATGTACAAACTAATATGTGGGATGATTTGTTATTATTACTGCTCAGATTCTCAGATTTTCATTTGCAAAGAAGGTCATGTTATTAAACTTCACACTGTAAGTTTAACACTGTACACATCACTCTTCTATCATTCCTCTTTGTATGACTTTGAATGACTTTCCAGGGTTTCTGATTGTAGCTGTTTGCTTCTCAAACAAGTCATAGTCACCCATAGACCAGAAAAAAGACAACGGTCATGATTAAAAAATGTCAAATGTTTGAGAGAACTGGCACAAAAAAAGCAATCCCCATGTCAAAGTCTCACGTCTTGTTTGTTCAAACGTCTATATGTATCTAAATTGGTATATGCTTAAACAAATCAACAATAAAGTGAGTTCTGATATCAGTGTATTCAGGTGTTTTCTCCAGACTGCAGCCTCTTCAGAGCTGTTTACTCTATTTAAATTCAAATACCCGCTGCAGGCTTTATATTTCTCTGCAGCTGTTGACCATGTCACCTGGCACATGGCAGTCCTATGAGAGGAGGGATTTAGTCCGTGATTGATTGCTGCTGCCTGAACAAGCTCTCCGGAGCCCTGAACTGTGGAGGCCTTGCCTGTGTCCCGCTGCTCACCCAAATCAACCAGCCATAGAAGTTATATCACAAGATAGCGCAAGGAAGGAGAGCACAACGACGAAGGAAAAGTCAAACAAGGTAACCAAGGGGAAGAAGAGGAAAGAGAAACAAGGGAAAATAAGCAGGTATTTCCATAATTGTTTATTCAACCTTTATCCAGAGAAAACAGATACATCTGTGCAGCTACAATTCCAGATGTTGGCAGCAGAGCAGCATCTACACAGTGAGAGGCTTCAGTGTCTTGGTCAAGGGCACTGCCACACTACCTCAAAGGATTTGAGCCAGAAACCTTAAGTTCACTAACCTACTTTTCTGACCTAGAGGCTACACCTTTCCTCTCAAAACTTGTTATGTCTTCCGTAATTCCTGCCCTCTTCCTGAACTACCAACAGACCTTTGAGGTACACAGAACTGTTTGTTAGATCCAGCTCCAGCTTTGATCTCTCACATCTGCAACACTTGTCTTTTTCGGATACCAGTCCTCCCTCTCACACAGGGAAAGTAAGACATGTATCTGTTATAGCTGATCATAATAAACAGATACACAATAACAGCTGTTTGATATAAAATGTTAACTGCAATCAGCCTTATTAAATGCTACAATGTGAGCAACTATGTGATAGTTTAGAAGGTTTTACAAAGAAAACAGATGCAAACCAGATGGTGGGATATCAGATATCAGAGCAGCAGTGTTAGTTATATTCACAGAATGAATCATTAAACACACAACTATATATCTATAAGCTGTAGTTAAATACATGGTTAACTCCAATTTCCAACATATTTTCCTTGATGTAATTGCATCCTTCAATGAAGATGCTGACCGATGTTCCCATAAAGAGGGTTGAATTAAATTGCATAAAACATTTCTAAACCATCATCTGCTTCCTATTCCCTAAAGAAATACCTGGTGGATTTTTTTATGTGTGGATACACTTGAGTGTTCCCATAATGAACACTAGTTTATGAACTGAAAAGACATCTTCTCCAAACCTCATTAACACGACCAACTGTCATACGTAAAGTCTGACCTTGAAATGCCATTACTAAACAAATTAAACCGGATACAGAGTGCAGCTGCATGATTCTTCCTGTGACTTTTCCTGATCAAAGCTTAGATTCCAGTTGTCTGGCAAAAGCTGTCAACAAAAATATGCAGCTGACCCAACAAGTGGCCAACAGGATAATTCACAGTACAGAGCACCATTGAACACTTTGGGAAGATAATTGACGTGATTTTACAACCACATTTCCGACAGCTGTGCTACTTCGGAGATAGAAACAACTAAATGACCTCAAAATATGAATGTCACTGCTCTGCGGCTACACAAGGTAGCACTCTGAAGCATAGTGAATCAGTCAAATTAAAAGTGTAGTTGTTCCAGCTCAGAGACACAGTAGTATACTCTTCAAGATAACTGTCATTATACTACCGAACAATCTCAAAAATGAAAGAGCATCCAAAACTTAAATGATTTTGATTTTCTTGGTTTTAAATTACATTTCAGTTTAAAATGAATACCAGGAAGAGAGTCAAGGGAAAACCCTATAACAGAGTAGAAACACTGAAGAGTTCATAGCAATCCCGTCTGAGTTTTTGTGATGCTTTGTTTTTCTCAGGACAGAGAGGGAAAAAGACAGCAGGCCCAGTCCACAGCTCTGTAAATGTCCACTCAGCTATTTTTTCAAGCTACCTGGCTCGAGCACTATCCTGCAGCATACACTGTATCTGCTTGAAATTGAATTAATTTTCTTCTGTGTGGCCAAAGGCTTTTGGCAGCTGAGGGTTCTCATCCTGATCCTTTGGCTCCTTCCACATCAGAGCAAATTAGAGCCAGTATAGAAATGTTGTATTTTTCCTTAGCAGCAGCTGGTTGACTTGGTTCATTCAGAGCAGCCAGCGCTGGAGCTTTGCTTCTGCTCAGCCTCAGTGACGAGACAGGCAAACCAACACATTTGGTCTGAACATCTGTTGAGTGGTGATAAGATGAACTACCCTTTCCCTCCTTTAGTCCCTTTCTTCTTCCCTTTAAAAGAATGTCTTTTTTCCTAAGGATGCTAGTTTGCATATGAATACAAATCTAAGATATCTCTTTGGGGGGGTTACACTGCTTCATAAGGAAACTTGAAAATGAGAAGCAAACATGTACAGAAGCAGAGATGACGCCAAGTAACAATGTCTTTACAGAGCGGATAGTGCTGTGAGGAAAACCTTCGGGTGTGCTTTTTGTCCAGATTGCTGCTTTGATGTGTTAGCATTCATATTCCTTTGAGTAATTGTGTGTAACACAATATCTAGTCAAGCGTGCTAAAGGAGGTTATTATATCTCTGTTTAAATTAGATCAGTCACTGCTAATGCATCTATAAACCAATAATGGAGATAATCAGACATCAGGATATCTGCAGAATAACTTAAACAGCTTTATTTTACCAGAGCTGCAAGTCTTTGATCATTCATTGCGATATTTTAAAGTACATTTATCTGCAGAATCGACTAAAGAACAGTCCCAGGGCTATTGCAAACCCAACAGAACAAACACACATGGTTTAATCAGCTACAAATCATAAAGGAAATCAAATCAAAGTTCTCATTTAATTTTGTTGTATAATGTGGATACAGATGTAAATCTCCAGCTAATCGTTATTAAAACTAGTTTTTGTTCCCAATCAGTGGTTCAGAATATACATTTAACTAAAACACTAACTTACAAAAAAAAACAATAGTTAGAGCATGCATACTCATTCTTGCCCTTAAAATAAACTACACTTAAGGCTCACTTGCTTTGTCTTATTCCATACAAACACAGACACCAGTTATATGATATTACTGGTTAATTGTTGACATTTGTGAGATATAACTAATATCTCACAAATGTCAACTATCTTTCCTTTAAAAGTGGACCATATATGTACATCTGGGTAGGGCTGCTCAATTAATCGTATTTTAATCGCGATTACGATCATGGCTTGAAACGATTACGAAAACAACGTAATCGAAATAAAACGATTATTTTCTAATTATTATTATTACTTTTTTTTTTTTTTTTTTGGTTTTTCAGTTGAATTATACTTAAAGTTCAGGGTATTCAACTGTTAAAAACATACTGTTCGCATTTTTTTTCTTCAATAAATGGATGTTTTCAATGTCAATGAATAATCGCATTGAATAATCGCAATTACAATTATTGACCCAAATAATCGAGATTATGATTTTTTCCATAATCGAGCAGCCCTACATCTGGGTAACTTGGCCATCTGGCTGACACAGCTACAAGATACTCTGAGAATGTAAAGGTCACCCCGAGGAGTACTATGATATATAGTTGAAGCAGTTCTTGCCCTGAATTTAGGGTTTCGCGAGATTACATTTTTATCTTGAATGATTTGTTCTGTTGCTGCGCGCACAACACAAGAAACATATTTATGGAGATGAATGTGGAGTAATAAATCTTTATTTCTTCTATCTAAACTATTCCAGTCCTTGTACTTTCCCGGCTCAATGGAGTAATACATTGTACTGTATGTGTTATATAGATTATTCATCATCATGGATATCGGCTCTCTTTGATACCGTAAACTCAGCCTCTGTTGGTGTTTCTGACGGCACAATGAACCATTGTTTTCACTTGGACTAGAAATCTAAAATAGAAAGGTCTGTGTGTCTCCTGGCGGGGGCTGGACTGATGCTGAGGATTGTTGGAGGTGGGCGGGGGGGACAGAGGGTAGAGAGAGCCTGAGGCTGTGGAAGAGGAACGAGCGGCAATCAAACCCACGACTGGCAGTGAACGCATCGCCTCTGACATCGCATGTATGACCTTCTCCTGCGTCTGCTTCTCCTACACACCATGAATATCAGGTAACAATGACATGTATGGCCTGCAGCGTGAGTGTGTGTGTGTGTCAGTTGGCTAACAGCTCAGACTGATAGCATGTGTAGGGCTCACCTCCTGTCCCCCTGTTCAGTCCCACACCATATGTAGAAAGGTCACAGCGAAAAACACAAACACACACACATACAAATACACACACACAGAG